AATAATTTATTGCGTTCAACAAAGCTCAAACACGTTTGGGACAAGTGATGGATGAGTAAATGATGACTGAAATTTCAGTTTTTAATATAATATTGCAAAGTCAATTTTTTGGAGAACACCGCCATCTCCTGGTTAAAGACACAGCATAGGGTGTTTTAGTACTTTATTAAGTCACTGAATGAAATTTTTTTTTGTTTTTTTCTAAACAGAGCCTATACCCTTATTCTATAAAGTAAAATTAAGCTCATCAACACTGAATTTATTTAATTGAAAGTAAAAACAGTAATGTAGAGTAATACAATAGGTTAATAAAATATAATCATATAATAATATATTAAATAATGATAACTATTTCGAATATACCAATAAATAAAACACGTTTATAATAAATCATTTTGTAATTATTGCAAAGATAACATTTCAACATGATTAAGCCATCCTCAGTGGCACACCATCCTTCAGAAATAATTATAATATGCTGAATGTGTTGCTTAATAAACATTTTTTGTCATAATAATTACTATCAATAATACAGACGTTCTGCTTAATAATTTTGAGGACACCATAATACATTATTTAGGATTCTTTTTTCTATATAGCCCATTCAAAACATCAGAACTACTTGAAATACACTTGAATGCCATTTCAGTGCAACATATTTTACATTCACTTTTCTATTATTATTTTATTTTGAAGTGAGTCTGCACTTCCACAATAGCATCACGCAAAATGTGCTAAAAAGCATTGTGTCTATTAATATTAGTCACGTCCCTGCATCCCTTTCCTCATTCCTAGCAGTGAATGCAGTATCATTCAGAATCCCACTTCCTCATCAGCCTGCAGCTCGTCTCTCATTGGCTGACCACTGTACCCAAACACCCCGCCCCCTCTGTGGCTCCGCCTCCCCTGCCCTGCACCCAGCGCACTCAGCTGTTCCATCGAGAGACATCTCCTCCCCACTGGCTGCTAATGCAGCAAATGGAGCTGCTCCACTAACAGACATTGGTCAGATCTCTACACCCAGAAGTACCAGAACAACACCAGCACAGGGTGTGGGTTTAACTGGGGGTAAGTGTATATTATATTGCTTAACATCATTCAGAGATTTACATTTTAAAGCAGAAGTGATTGGTTGCTCAACTAATAGGATAAAGCATTGATGTTTGTGCTGTGGTTTGAAGATCTAGATGTTTACTTTACTGCACTGAAGTCTTAGGGAGTGTTGAGTCTATACAGACTGAATGTGTATGTGCAAATCCTCCCATGTGAGGCAGGGACAGTGGTGCAGGAAATCAGAGTCATATGATAGCCAGACATTGAGAGCAGATCAGCAGAAAAACAACAGAAACGTGTTGAGGTTGTGACTGAGTTCAGCTAAGAGCTGGATTTAGGTCAGCGATTTTATGCAGCTGTGTGAACGTTAGCTTTTATTTTATATCTGAATATGAATGTTTATACTGATTATTGGTTCTTTTGTTAAACAGAAAGGATTGCATTCGATGTGACTTATTCATTGGGTATAAAGTGTTGTATGTCTGTGTTCACTGAAAAACAGGTTCATTCATTTAGACCCTGAAGGGGGTTTTGGAGTGGCAGTCATGTATTCCCCTCAGAGTCTTCACCGATGGGGCATCACACATAGTGAAAGTATGGAGCGTTTGGCCTACAGTCAAGGTAAGCTTTCACAAATCTAAAATATTAAGTTCAAATACACAATGTGGAACTGCAGACCTACGCTTTTGTAGCTAGAACAGAGTGGTGGTGACACCCATAGTCTATGAGGAGAATAATGCAGACTTGGCACCATCGAGCTGGTTGTGAGCTGAGGCTGTTGATGTTTGAATTCCTACTGTTTGTTTTGGACTAATGCTTTGCGTCTTTATTACTCACACTGATGTTGTCTTCTTTATTTTTCTGTGATATAAATGAAGAAGGTTGCATGCATTCATTATCAGGGGTTAGGAAAATCTTTCCAATATTGTTGTAAAATCTGTTTGATTTTGTGTAACAAAAAGGTGGCTGGTTTTCGATGGTTTGCTGGTTCTAGTCCCAGCTGGGCCAGGAGGCTATTTAATTGGGTAAACAAAATTGGCTGTATACGTATATACTATAGTGTATAGGTGTGTGTACATGTGAGAGTGTATGGGTGTTTCCCAGAACTGGGAAGGGCATCCACCGCATAAAAAATATGTCAGTAGTTGGCGGTTTGTTTTGCTGTGGTGACTTGATAAATCAGGGATTAAACTGAAGTATATCGAGTTAGTGAGTGGTTACAAAACCTTGATCTCCACCATTGGTCTTTGTGCACAATTGTGCGTTAAGGCGTTAATGCAACAATTATTTAGTGCAAAACCAAAGACCTTGTGAGAAAACAACATAAGTAGAAATGTGAGGCAAATATACCAGTTGTGTACATCAGAAAAGCAAGTTATCACATTCATATTATTGTCACTGTCAACTGGAGATAAACGTATAAACTAATTTAAACATTAATGTTATACAAATTTGTGTGCATTTGGCAAAGCAAAATGAACTGCAATACTAAGGAGACATGCACAAGCACAAAAAGTGTTTTCCACCAAACTCTTGTATATCCTAGAACATGACACCCTTCTGTGATACTGTTGCTTCTTCTTTTTCAAAAGCTTAACGCTATTCTATCATAGACTCGTGAGAATGATAAGATTTACTAAATTTATTTTGTGGTCAGAAACTAAGGCATACAGTACAGCAATAAAACACACATGTGAGTAATTAATGACTAAAATTAAAATTTTCTCTTCAATGTTCAGACATATTTACTTTTGTTTTGTTGTTCAATCATCATTGACAAAATCCATTTGTTTCAGTTGGAATCCTTCGACTGGGAGTTTAGTATAAGGGTGAAAAGTTGGTTATGTTTGTCATATATAACAGAAGTAGTTTGTTTTAAAGGTTGCTTTTCTGTCCTATTCAACACCTCTTCATTGTTGACACATTTGTTTATACCTGAGACTGCACCATTAGGCTAGGTTAGGGGTCGGGAACCTTTTTTCAGCAAAGAGCCATTTCTGATTTATTTTTGGCAAATGCGTTTTTTAAAAAGCCATTGGGGTGTGTGTGTGTATATATATATATATATATATATATATATATATATATATATATATATATATATATATATATATATATATATATATATATATATAAATAAATGAGTACATAATAGAGTACACCCCATTTTGAAAATGAATATTTTGATCTGTTTCCCAGTAAATATAAAAACTATATTTTGCTGCATTGGAACAAAACAGATAAGTAAAGATAATACAATTACATTTATGCAAAATATTTGGGGAAAAAATTACAAACTACAAAATTTCAGCTAAATTGTGAATTTTTGTTTCTCGTGAATTTTGCTCTTAAAAAATAATATATACCTGTTACTACTACTAAAATAATAAAGATTTAAACCAAACCTTTCCAGGTTATGCACAAGTCAAAAATAAACAAACATGAAGCATCACATGTTAAGCAAGTCGATGAATGATGAAAGGACAACGTATTTAAATTCTGGTAAATTAACTCCTTTTTTTCTTAAAAGCAGCCCAATTTTAAATAATCAAACATTTTACTATTTTAAAAATTAACACTGTTACTTAAATTAATTCAAATGAAAGTAGCCTATGCAGCAACATTTTATTTGTGGCTTGTTTTAAAGAACAGAAATCCCTTTATACTAATATTTAGAAAATAAAGAGCAAACAACTTATGTTTGTATGATAATTACATGCACGCGTAGTTAACAAAGAAATGCTAGTTATTTGCCCGTGCAATGGTCGACACTTCTGCTTGTGGTCGTTTTTATTCATTTTGCTGTAAAAAAACGAAAACAATAAAAAGACAATTGTTATAAAATGATACTGATTTCTTGTGACAGTTATAATAGTTTTAAACTATAAAATATTTGTGAAGGGAGAAAGCTGGAGAGCCACATATTTTTGATCAAAGAGCCACATTATGCTCTCGAGCCATAGGTTTCCTACCACTGGGCTAGTTGATGGTGACAAGCAGGTTTTGATAGGCTTATGATTGTTCACTAAACTGATAATCTGTCACTTAATCTTTCACTTTGTTAAAAAGAGATGATCTGTTCACAAGTGAAAAATAATCAGTTTATGTACATTTTTATGCTAACAGAATTAATGTTGTGATGTTGAAAACTTAGCGTTAAATTTGTTAGCATGCAAATATGTTTTCAAGTGTTATTCAAATATTATCCATAAGCATCCACCCAAAAAATGTCTGTGTAATCCATTGGAGAACAAGTATAAGTAAACATTCTTCATCATTTGTAGCCCTTGCCTAACATGACATATAACAAATCTATCAAACTGCAGATCAGCCAACACAGTGGTGGTACAACAGTCATCCACCATCTTATTCTTACTTAAAACTGAATTGTTCATATCTCAATGGTTTTTAAAGGCTGTTTTTTTCCACAATTCACACTATAGAAACGTGTTTCTAGATGCACTTTGGAAAGTTTTAAATCGGATTCAACAAAAATGCAGTCTCTGTGTGGATTAAAGCTCCAAAACTTAAGCGTGGATGGGCTTCAAGAATTAATTTGATGAAAGCAGTCACTTGCTTCATGTTAGTGAATATGAATTAGTGCATGAGTGAACGAGAAAGATTTGTTCAGAAACAGATTTTCTTAATGTCCCCATATTGTCCCGCATAATTCCAGTAATAGTTTGTAACAGTTATCTGGCTTGTTATGTCTTAATTGTGTAAATGAAATACTACATTATCGTTCAGGACAATGTTCCATACAGGCGGTAGAGGGTAGTATATCCATACTCTCCCCCTGAATTACGTCTTTTTTTAATCGTTATGACACCACCCCTTTGCTGCAGACGGATCGTGCAGGAGTGCTCGGGTGTAAACAAATCGACAATCTAGCCATTTGTTCTCTAAAGATACCATGATCATATGAATGGAAAACACACGTCGCCTCTGGGGCGTTGACAAGAAGCATCACAAGGGAAAGCGCTCGAGCTGCAGCCGTCCAGCGTTTATCAATGCCGCTCAACACATCACCGCCCTGGCTGTTAGGTGAAGCGTTACCCTAAACAGTGTGAGATTCACTTTCACGATGGCGACACCTGCAGAACAGGACCTTGTGTTGGCGGAAGCAGAGGGCAACAAAGAGAGAACGCAAGTGTTCGGGATCCTCAGATTGCAGGAGGATAAATCGGCCGGCGAGAAAGCGAGCAGCCCTGCCATGAAATCTGGAGACGGGAGATGGCAGGCGCCCATATTCGCGCTAGCCAGAAAGGCTTCAGAAACCTTCTCTGGTGGCATTCATGTGCTTCCCAAAGTTACAGAGCCTAAAACGTCGCCTTTTACCGAAGAATGGGGTGCCAGGGGTAGGTTATGGGCGACATTAATTTCTGAGGCTGCTGTTGGGATTCAGTTATTCAGATGTGGTCTGTGTGTATGGCAAGCCGTATTATCATTTAGCTTAACGCTAACGTTACATTAAACCTGACTAACGTTAGATTGTTTTTGCCAGCTCAGTGAGTTAGTTGCCATTATTACTATCATTTATTAGCATTCCAACAGGGTGACAACTATCTACAAACAACTCTTTTTCCATTTAGTTATTTGTCAGCTTTTCATTTGTGAATTGGCTATTGAAATTGTAGCTAAGTTACGCTTTCCAATTGTGCTAGTAGCATTTTTGAGATATCATTGCTACACGCATTGTTTAATTGTTTTTGACAAAAAATTGATTACAATTACTAAATAATAAATACTGGAATAATGCCTATTGTGATATAAAAACAAGCAGAAGTAATGATTTGTAGTTAAATTGAGGATACTTGTTGTGTTATAGTCATTATCTGTTTAAATCAAGATGTTGGAATAACAGTTACTGTTTTTGGTCCAAGCCGCTATTCATTTGCATTTAGAAAAGTATGGGTTTTTGACCACTTTTTAGTCATATCATGCATTAAAGTGAATTTTATATAAAATCATGGATTTCTGGACATTTTGCATCACATACGCCAATATTTTAACAATATATATAAAAAATCACTTTCTGGCCATTTGATATTAGGCATGGATATCCATCTATCCATCATCCATCCATCCATCCATCCATCCATCCATCCATCCATCCATCCATCCATCCATCCATCCATCCAGTGATAGTGATTTTCAAAAGTATTACAGCACTTGGTAAACACTTATTATTACCAATTGTTCAGCCTCCATGTACAGTTTGATGGAGCGATTTTTACCCGGTAGCTGCTTTGCACGATGTCACACTTAACAAGCGAATTACTCAGTAGGCCCATGCAGAATCTGCGCCCACAGAAATCTTCAGAAACTCCACAGATTTTATATTAATTTCATTAGTAATATTTATCATTATTATTTTGATGATTTCTATACAATATAGTTTGTAAAGTAATATTTTCTGTCTTTTAGTGGATGTATTACATGAGAGACTCGCACACCTCCTTTATTCTCAAATATCTGCAGATTCTTTACAAAGTTCTGTGCAGAAATAGCAAAAATTGCCCACAGATTCTGTCTACAATATCTTAATGCACACAAATAGTCAAATCTGCAGCCTTTCAAAGTATAATTTACAAAGTATACATGAGATATAGTGTAATGTCACTAGGTAGTTTTTAGCAACATGCTAAAATGGCTTGCCATGCAACATTTTCTGAATGATGTCATAATAGCATGATGTCATGGAGAGTGCCTTGGTTTGTTTTCATATGTGCATTTAGTATATCCTAGATCTGTTCAAATTCTGAGGGAATGAAGCTTCATTTGCTTAATAGGAACTGAACAACATAAACAGGAAGTATACAGTATATTAGCACAGCGCCAGTGTGCTTGTTAGACAGAGCCAGTTTGAATGTGTTTGCATAAGAAGTATTGATTAGCCTGATGGGTAAAACTGGGTCCAATGTATCACAGATAAGACAAAATTGATTCCTACTTCAAGTTGTATCTGTCGTTGCAGCAGGAAATGTAAAAAGTGAAATGTCCTGTGAAGCACTAATGAATGATACAATACAATCAAAGGGTTTTAAAGGGTAGTTCACCTAAAAATGTAAATTTACTTACTCTTCACTTGGGTTTATTTTGTCTGTAAACAAATACTATGGAAATTAATGCTTAGATGTTTTTTGCTTTTAATTTAAAAATAATGTTGTGTTAAATGGAACAAAGATACCCAATTCGGTTTGGAACAAGTAAAGTGAGTAAATTATAGCAACATTTTAGTTTTGGGTGAACTATCCCTTTAAAGATTTGTTAAAATTTAATCTCATCCATGCAAAGGGTGGTCACATGCTAGTCTTAAGGAAACCGCCAGAGGTTGAAGTGCTGGGATGAGTTTTCAGTGTGTTCTTCTTTAGGTTATGTAATGTTTTGCTATGATACATTTGTCTGTGTGTCTTCCAGCCTTTCGGGATCCCATGGCAATGGAGCGAGCTAACTTGCTCAATATGGCTAAGCTTAGCATCAAAGGCCTGATCGAGTCAGCTCTGAGCTTCGGACGAACTCTGGACTCTGACTATCCGCCTCTGCAACAGTTCTTTGTTGTCATGGAGCACTGCCTGAAACATGGCCTCAAGGGTATGTTCAACCATCATCACACAGCCAACAACCAGGAACCATCTGCTAACTAGTTAGACACAACATTATAATCATTTCATTCTTTAAAGATTTCTAATTGGTATGTTAGCTACTGTTTTTTTTTTGGAGTCTTATATTCCAAAATTTCTTGTATAATGCAATTAACATCCTGTATGCCAGGGGTGTCCAATCTTGGTCCTGGAGGGCTGATGTCCTGCATATTTTAGTTCCAACCTCAATTAAACGCACCTGAACCAGCTAATCAAGCTCTTTCTAGATGTACTAAAAACTTCCATGCAGGTGTGTTAAAAAAAGTTGGAGCTAAACTTTGCCAGACACTGGCCCTCCAGGACCGAGTTTGGACACCCCTGCTGTAAGCAAAACAAGTGCTAAGCATGCATATATTAAAGTTGCTTTCAAATGAGAGACGTTTGAGTATTTTTTATTTACTTTTTTTTTTTGTAAGTATGGGTATTTCCCACATACAAGTTTCAGTTTCATTTTTAACACTTATTCAAATGTAACCTTTATAATCAATGCTGTTGTTAGCGAATGCGACTTCCCTTTCATTTAGTTTAGCATTAACATTTATGTAAACTTAACCGAAGCAGCTAACAAATGTGCATAATCGAAGTAATCAAAACAATTCCCAATTAAGTCTAATGCAGTAAAAAAACATTTAGTGGAAAGTTAGTATAGAAGGTCGACATTAAAAAAAACTTTAGCTGATTTTTGAAAATGGCTAGAGATTCAAACAACCCAGACTATTTTAAAACACAGCAGTAATATGCAAGTGCTATGAGAAGTGCCAGTTGGTCTACTGCATTACACAGAGCAAGTTTTAAGACAAGTTATTATCCATTATTATGATGGGACAGTTAGCTAGACAGGAAGCAAATTTAAGAGAGGAAGTGGTGTGATTTGGAATGGTTCATGAGCTGGAACTCTAATTCAGGATCTCTATATGATGCTATATGTTGGCGCACCATTAGGCTATTGGCACTGATTAGCAATTTTTTTTAGTACATAAAAAATCTCATTTATTATTTATTTTCTTTTCAGCTTAGCCCTTTATTAATCTAGGGTCGCCCCAGCGGAATGAACCGTCAATTTATCTATCATATGCTTTATGCAGTGGATGCCCTTCAAGCTGCAACCCATAACTGGGAAACATCTATACACACTCATTCACACACCTACATTACAGACAATTCAGCTTACCCGACAAAATAAATAAATAAATCTTCTAAAAAAAAAAATTATAGAGAGTGATAGTGTTAGATGATTAAATGCAGGCAGAACCAGGCTGTGAATTACAGGGATTGACCCCCCTAATTAATGCTTGGTCAGTCCTCTAAATAGTGAGCAAAAGTTTACTGGATATGTATTTGAAATAATTAATATATTCATTCATTTTCTTGTCTGCTTATTCCCTTTTGTATTTCGGGGTCGCCACAGCGGAATGAACCGCCAACTTATCCAGCACGTTTTTACGCAGCGGATGCCCTTCCAGCCGCAACCCATCTCTGGGCAAATTTTAAATAATAATAATAATAATATTTAAAATAATAGATAATCTAAACACTTTTGACTACCCCTTTAACAGTGCATACTGTTGTGAATGCATAATCGAACCAATCAATCTTTGGGTGAATAAAATCATTCAACAGTCTGATACTGGCTGATCTGCAGCACCGATGGACAACATAAGTGTTCACGAGACACTTTTCTTGTAAAGTCGGAGTTTGTTTCTATGTATAGCCTAAAAGTAAAACAAAATGAGCTGCATAGTTAGTATAGTTTAAGTTACAGTAACTTCTGAAATAGCTAATTAGAATATACTTCATATCCCACAAAACACTGAAAACATAGTAGTAATTAATAGTAAATTAGATGTGGTTTAAATAAATATACATTTGATTCACTAAAGTATTACGCAAACTAATAACGAAAAATTTCGTCAATCGTCAATGTGTATTTCACACCCTGGGCCGACCTTTGGCTTTATCTTTTTTTTGTTAAACCTTTTTAACTTGTGGATTACATTTTATTTAAGACTACTGGTAGCCTTTTAAATGTATTCTTTCCAATTAATTTTTTGGATTTCATCTATTTTATTAGCTTTTTTAAACAATAATGCACACTTATGTGACAAATGTTTCATAAAAAAACTTGGTGTTATATATATTTTCCATAATTCTATGCCAGTGCTATTCTTAGGAACAAGACAGATGTCAATAAGTGTTATGCCATGTTTATTTATAATAGGAAAAGAAAATGAGGAAATGCATGTTTTATTCATTCTCAGATGACAGATCATCTGAAGTTCTTGTCCGCTGAGCCAGCGCTGCACTAAATTAGAATATTTCCTGTGAAGTGATGTTTCTTCAAAGAACTGTGTGTCAGATTTTGACATGGAGCTGTTTAACAAACACATTTGTCTCTATTTCTCAGTGAAGAAATCGTTTCTTGGTTACAACAAGTCATTGTGGGGGCCTCTGGAGATGGTGGAGAAGCTTTGCCCAGAAGCAGGAGAAATCGCAGCCAGTGTACGAGATCTTCCTGGCCTGAAGTATGTGCAGCACTAAACACCATTATTGCCCTTAAAGTTACACTGATTATCTTGCTTGCAAATCTGGAGGACTTCATTTGGTCTACATGAATCATCCAAAGACTCCAATACAAAGTGGAGACCACTATTAAAAACATTTATTTAAAAACACTTGTTGTCTCACACCCAATCCTCAGCACACCAAGAGATGTGCTGTAAAAAAAGGGAAGTGCAAATTTCAGTTCTAGTTCCCTGACAAAACTGAAACTTGCAACTGTAAGTAAAGCCTATTTCCAAACTCATGCATATGACTGTTTATCTATGCCTGTCCACCCGTCTGTCTCTCTGCCTGCCTGCCTGCCTGCCTGCCTGTTTGTCTGTTGGACTGTCTGTCTGTCCGTTTGTTTTTCTTTGTGTGTATGTCTGTCTGTCTGTTTGTCTTTGTGTGTATGTCTAACTGTCTGTCTGTCTCTCTGATTGTCTGTATGTCTCTTTCAGTCTGTCAGTCAAATTAAAAATGGCTTTATTGGCATGACTAAAAATACAGTATTGTCAGAGCTTGCAATACATATAGAGAAACATAATAACAACAAAAGATGAAAGCAATATAATAGCAAATAAAAGAGAGGGAAAAACATCATAACAATATAAGCTTAAATAAACAGTTCAACAATTAATAGCGCATGAACTATTTATACCACAGTGTTTCACATACAAACACCCACAGCCTAAAGGTCACTGTGGTAGACAGGTGGGAAACATATTGAGGTCAGACATTATACGCGCATTCACCTGCTGTCTCTCTCTGGCACGTCCACCATTTGTTTGTTCCTCTTTTGTCTGTAAAATTCTTTATAATGTTTTTTAATTTGTTGATGTATAAGTCTGATTGATTTAAAGGGGTGAGCTATTGCTATTTCATACATTCAGAGTTATTTGCACTGTTCAAGCTTGGCTTAAGTTTCAAAAAAATATTTGGAGGTAACAGATTTTTTTTTTTGACCCAAAATCTTACTTCCGAGTCGTAATTAATTTTTCAAAGAAAATAAAATAACTTTTTTCTTTCGAGCATGGCTTTTGGTTACATAACCAAGAGTGGAAATCTTTTATGTGTGCTTCTCCTGGTAATAAAAATGTGTGTGTGATCTGAGTGTATGTGCTCCTATCACCCGCAACATCGCTACACAGGATTTGCCTTAGAATGAGTCAAGAAAGTGTGCTTTTGGATTAGGCATGGGATGATAACCGTGTTCAAGATATACAGCAGTTTGGAAAAGTCAAAGATTTAAAACAGTCAACATTTTCTGTAATACCGTTCCTAAGGTATGAGTAAGATTTTTTATTTACATTTTTTTTTTGTTTTTTAGGACAACAGTATCTCCAGTAGAAAAAATCTCTAAAAATATTGTTTTAAATTTTTAAAAAAGTCTGTGTTTTTGAAACTAATGATAACAGCTGAAGTCAATAATTCATTTAAATCCCTCCTAGGCCTGGCCCCTGAGTAGATTTCTGAGCTAATTAACATGCACCAGAGATCTTTTCGCTCTAAGGTTCGTCTCTTTTTGTCAGTTCCACGATCGCGCTTAAAATGTCGATGTGATAGAGCTTTTTCAGTAGCAGCTCCAAGACTCTTGAAAGATCCTCCACTCTCCTTAAGAACAGCTCCATCTTTTGAGTCTTTTCAGAGGTCACTAAAAACACACTTATTTTCTTTAGCTTTTAATCATGTGATACGAGTTTATGTATTTTGGTTTTGTGTATATTTGCATGTGTTTTTATGTGTTTATGTACAACACTTTGGTACCCATTGTGGTTTGTCAGTGACAGTGCTCTAGAAATAAATTGAGTTGAGTTGAAGTATTGAGCCTGACATGTTTACTGCTCCTAAATATTTTAAATGTTTCCCAAATTAAAGTAAATTGTGTACAAAGGGGAAAAAGGTTTAGTTTTTTAATCAGACATTTAAAAAGAAAATATTATAGAGCAGTAATCTCAATACCATGAAACCGTAATATCTATTTCCAAGGTTATCATATCGTCACAATCTTATACCGGCCCATGGCTATTTTGTATGCAAGACAAAGCTGATCTTGTTCAGCCATACTTAATTGAATCTTTTAACATGTATGTTTTAAACACTTCTAAATAGCTGATCCCCTTTATGAATTATTTTGAATAAATCACTGATATATTACCATGCCAAAGTGTGTAGTTTATGACACACCACAGCCCTATGCACTACATCAACCTCCTCTAAACTAGAGGAAAGTAAGTGGATGTTTAACTGGGAGAAGAAGAGAGTCAACATTCTAATTACCTAAACCTTTTTTACAAAGAGAATCAGACAGCTGTACCTGTCTCAAAAGAATTCAAAAACTTTTCAGAGAAAGTATGGACGCAGGGCTCATCTATAGCTAGGTGCTCAATAGTAATATTAGAATGAGTAAAGTGAGCATGATAATTCCCCTTTAAATTAGTAACAGTGAAGGAGAAACTGCACTTCTTTCTGTCTATGTCTCTGTTTGTCTGTACAATGCTGAACATGTTTGCATCTGTTTTTCAGGACTCCTCTGGGCAGAGCCAGAGCGTGGTTGAGACTGGCACTGATGCAGAAGAAATTAGCTGATTACCTTCGCCTCCTCATCACCAGGAAAGACATTCTTAGGTTAGTACTTTCCCTTCCTGTACCTGTCTTAAGTAACCTTCCTTTGTCACAATAGTTGTGGTGGAGCGTTAGTGATTAGAGAAGTGATAAGATCTGCCTTAGACAAACTAGTCTTGTGTTTCCTGCTCAGTGACCAGTGTTTGTTAGAGGGTCTGCATCACATGTAACCCTCTAAAAAGCACTTCTGCTGCTGCTGACTGGGATTTAAAAGTTGAGAGTTGGTATGTACATTATTATTTGAAAGGGGTCAGGAAGATTTTTTTAAAAAGCCTCATATACTCATTAAATCTGAATTCAAATCAGTACAACAGGGAAATGAATAATTTATATACTGATTTTAATGTTACTGATATTAATGTTTAAAATGTAATTTTTTTTGTTTGATGTCAAAGATACATTTTCAGCTTTATTTCTTCAGTGGAACATCATCCTAATATGCTGATTTGGCATTTAAGAAACATTAATTATTGTTGAAAGCAGTTTCTCTGCTTTTTTTTTTTTTTTGTGGAAACAGCAATATTTAATGCCACATTTTATTAATTGAATGCATCCTTGTGGAATTACATTAAATAAATGCAAAATTATGAAAATGAAAATAGATTTTTTGCAATTTATTAAAAATACCTTGCATTATGTATTTTTTTATATAGCTATATATATATATATATATATATATATATATAATTGTGCAGATTTACCCCTAAGAATTGGGACAGCACTATAGCACCTGCACACGTCATCCTGTCATCGTGGTCTCATGCTTCATATGAGACCAGATGATCACATTTGCTGTAGTTATTCCAGTTGTATTATTTTTTGGTATTTATCTATGATGTAATGTGGCAATAAGCCCTGAACTATACTGTGTATTTACACAGTGGCCATATTCATCTATAAAAACATACAAAAACAACTTTAACATCAAAACAGGCACTGTAAAAAGCTCTTTCTCAGCCACTAGACTTTTCTGACAGGGTATTCTAGTGTCATCGAATGTCAGATTGTTGTGGGGTTGCTGTACAGGAGTTATGATTATGGATTATAGATTGCAAAATTTAGCGGTTTTTATTTTAGAGTTTTTTTTTTAAAAAAGCATGACGGTAAAACACGAACGCGGTTATGAATATATTAAAACACATGTTTGTTTGTCGTAAAACTTCATAATAATGAAAAAGTACTAATTTGTGGATCTCCTTACTTAGCCCTACACCTTCAAGCTAAAGAGAATTGGGACACCCCTACCCCTCTATGTGAACGCACAAAATGAGGGGTAAGGGCAAAGGCTAAGGCGTAAAATTAGGATTGGGCCGTAATAGTTGGGCTTGGCGATTAATCAAAGTCGTCATTCAGACCCTGTATGTTTCCAAGTCAATTTTTTTTTCAATTACTTTCCCTACCGTTTGTGGAGTCATGTGACCTTGTTGTTAAGCCTTGATTTTTACTTCTGTGGCCACTTTGCAGCCACATCTGATCTCTGGTCAAGTAGGACAATTGACCCATTCTCGAGCTTTACTTTGCACTACATTCGCGATGATTGGAAGCTGCTTTAAAGAAGCCTTGAGACAGCATATTATCCATTACATTTAAAAATTGCCTTACAGAAGATTCAATAAATGCACTGTTTAAAATATTTTTTAATGGATATGCAAGAGGTATTTTATTTAGAAGAGATGCTGCATATTGTTTATATTTTAATATGAAAAACATGAAAAGTGCAAGTTATATACATGAAAACAGATTCAGACTGTTGTCTTTAGGCAATGTGTGTTTTAATTTCAGTTGTTCAACGTTGATGTTCAATAAATAATCATAGATAGTAGATAGTGTGTGTTTCCCTCAATTATTATAAAATCAAGTGATGCACCCTTTATTCAAAAGTCTCTCACAAAACATGTTTGTGAGCTATGAGGGCAAAAGAAAAAATAATCTTTTCATTTAATCAATCAAGTTAAAATGTTCAATTAATGGAGTTTTTGATTTTAGGTCAAATCGCACAGCCCTATAATAGAGCATTCTATGGTGTGTTTTTAGAGATTTTTTTTTCAGTTTACAAATTGAAGTGGTCATGTCATCATAACAAAGGTATCCTGAAGTATCTATAGTTTTGCTTTATTACTTAAATAAATGAGTATTTGTGTGTATTTGCAGTGAGTTTTATGAGAGCTCAGCGGTGATGCTGGAGGAGGAAGGCGCTGTCATTGTTGGGCTCCTGGTGGGACTGAACGTCATTGATGCAAACTTGTGTGTGAAGGGTGAAGACCTCGATACGCAAGTATGGACTGTGTATTGGCCATTTTTAACACCCTGACATTTGCTTCTGTTTGAGAAATGCTAATGTCAAGCACTGGAATCCACAGGTTGGTGTAATAGACTTCTCCATGTACTTGAAGAATGACATTGATGACTACAGAAGTGAAGAAAGGTAGAAAGTATGCTTAGTAGACAGCATATTTTAAATTAAGTGGTTAGTTAGTGAATAATTTGTCACATTAAATTGTTGTAATTATAGTATTCTTTATAATTAACTATTGGAAATATGTTTTTAATAGGAATGGACAGATTGCAGCTATTTTGGATCAGAAGAACTATGTTGAAGAATTAAATAGGCAGCTGAAGTAAGTTCATCTTTAAAAAAAAAAAAAGCATTTGTGATAAATAGTATTTGATGAAAGCTTGTTTCCCCCACTAAATAATAAATAAAAAATATAATTGTGACTCAATTAATTTTTCTTGGAATTGTGAAATAAAACACACAAATGCATGTTGCAATTGTAATTGTGAGACAAAAACTTTTTTCTTACAAATACGATTGTCAAGTTTTAGTTTCATAATGAAAGTCACAATTACCTTTTCTTATTTTGTTATTTAGTAGCAAAATCAGGCTACATTTTGTAGTGCTACTGACTGTGGCATATTAAAACAGGTGAAACTTTACCCAAATTATTTTTACATTTTGTTTAAAGTTCTACAGTGCAAGGCCTGCAGGGGCGCGTGGAGTCATTAGAAAAAACCAACTCCAAACTCATAGAAGAGGTACTGTTTAAATTCAAAGTCTTTACTTTTAAATAGAAATATTCAGTACTAACTTTGTTAACATCTTTTTATATACAGTTGGCAATAGCGAAAAACAACATAATCAAGCTGCAGGAAGAAAACCACCAACTCAGAACCGAAAATTCTGTCATTCTAATGAAAGCACAACAACGTCTTGCGGTATTCTACATTTTTTTATATATATATATTTATTTTTTTGTTTGTGTGTATGTGTGTGTGTGTGTGTGTGTGTGTGTGTGTGTGTGTGTGTGTGTGTGTGTGTGTGTGTGTGTGTGTGTGTGTGTGTGTGTGTGTGTGTGTGTGTGTGTGTGTGTGCGCGTGTGTGCGCGTGCGTGTGTGTGTGCGTGTGTGTCTGTGTGCGTGTGGCACACAGCGCCATGCATTTTAGAATTCTAAACATAGGTTTCTATCAGGATACACACACCGGCGCCGCAAGTCGGCGGCTGTTGGCGGCGCCCGGCCACGGCTCAGGACGTAGTTCATTTTTCAGCCGCGCCACACAGCCCCATCTGATTAGTTTAATGTTAAATATCATTCAAATGTGCGCGTCTGGTGTGTGATACTTTAAACTGTCATGTGCGTGCCATGTCGCGGCGCTTCTGGTGTGCGACCTGCTATACACACAAATATATATATATATATATATATATATATATATATATATATATATATATATATATATATATATATATATATGTATGTATATATATATGTATATGTATATATATGTATACATATATATGTATATGTATATATTATTTATTAATATATAGAGAGACTATATATATATATATATATATATATATATATATATATATATAAAATATTATGTATGTGTGTGTGTGTGTGTGTGTGTGTATATATATATATATATATATATATATATATATAAAAATTTTTTTTAACCCGTTATAATGAGGTGTTATAAGCTATTTAATGCATTAACTAAAATTAAATAACAATGCAAAGTCAGCTTGTTACAGTAAAAATTTAATGTTTGTTAAAAAAATGTTAGGTTATAGTTTAGGTCCTTTAAATAATACTAACGTAGAGCTAAATAATACTAACATTTCAATCGTTTATAAGTAAATGCTGAACTTAAGCTATTAAAATAAATGATTTAGAAGTACTTTTCATTGATAGTTCCTGTTTACTAATGTGAACAATTGGAATTTTATTGTAATGTATAAACCATTTTATTAAAAGTTTATTTCTTACATACAAACATAAAAAATAAAACATAAAAGACCTGAACTTTTTTCCTTTCGTGTACTCTTTTGCAACCATGTTTTCTGCGTTCTAAACTTTACATTTAAAACATGCTAATACTACAAATGGTAGATTTCACAATCAAAATGCAAGCCATATATTATAGTATATTCACAACTTTATACCATGCATGTCTTACACTCAGGTTACAGAAGGAGATTTGAGCTGTGAGTTGGACACGTACAAGCAGTCAAGGCAGGGCCTGGATGAAATGTACAACGAGGCTAGACGCCAACTAAAAGAGGAATGTCAGCTCCGGCAGGTGTGTGTTTATATAAAGAGTCTGTGCCTGCTGTTCAGATAGTGTACTGGCATCAAGAAGAGGTCAAACCTGTTTCTTATGTGCACCAGGATGTGGAGAATGAGCTGGTTGTGCAGGTGAGCATGAAGCAGGAGATGGAGATGGCCATGAAACTGCTAGAAAAGGACATCCATGAAAAACAGGACACTCTGATTGGACTCCGGCACCAGTTAGATGAAGTAAAAGCCATCAATGTGGAGATGTACCAAAAAATGCAGGTAAAGACTTTTGGCTAAAGCGATGTTTGCATGTTTGTGGTTGAAATGGCTTATGGTCAAATTATTTATGTTTATTAACAGTCTTCAGACGACAGCATGAGACAGAAGAATGACATGATCGCACGGTTGGAGGAGAAGACCAATCAAATTACGGCAACTATGAAACAACTAGAGCAAAGGTGAGAAAAGCAGTTCCTAGTTGATTTTGGATCACGTCGAGCATAACGTTTGGTTATCATACTCCTGAAATGTATTCAGAACAGATTCAAGTGTTTAAAAGTCATAATGAAATCAAAATTGACAGAATTTATTTGATCTTAGTAAGCTTGTGTTGCTATTTTTGAGGTGGACAGTTAGTCTAAATTTAAAAAGTCCACAGGCTCTCATTGGCAGACTAGGAAATCGGCAATGATTTTGTTTAGTTACAAGCAGTTCACTCATTGGTGATCATAAGTTATTAATACTTGAAAATTGTCACAAATAACCATTTAAATATTCATATTGTTTGGCCAAATTTGCATAGGCTTTTTCTTTTGTATAAACATTAAACCTTTATCTAAAATATATATTTTTAAAGCTCTGTTTTATTTACTTTTTATACAAAATATAATATTACAATACCATTCACACATTTAGTTGTTTAGATCTTTAGAATTTAAGAAATTGCTAATAATAAAAATGTCAGTCAAGATATAAATCCGCCAAAAAATATTATACAGAACCACTGTTTCAACATTGATGATAACAAGAAATATTTCTCAGATCAGGATACTAGAATGATTTCTATATGCTCATGTGACACTGAAGACTGAATAATGATGCTGAAAATTCATCTTTAAATCACAGGAATAAATTACATTATTCAATTGAAGTCTTAGTTCACACAGAGATACAAATTATTTTATTAAATCGCCATCTTTCCTTTCCAAACCCCTGAGTTTTTTACTCACATTCAGAACACAAATTAAGATATTTTAGATGAGCTTCCTCATCTTCCATAGAAAGCAATAGTTTCAACTCTTTCAAGGTCCATAAAACACCAAAAAAAATCTCCTCACATGACCTATACTAACATTGAGGAGAAGAAACTGTTGATTTAAGTTGTTATTTTTGTTTAATGTGTGCACAAAAGTATGCTCTCAGCTTGATAGCATTCTGATTGAACCCCTGAAGCCATTTTGTCTGTTTGAGGATGTTTTTTGGTACGTTTAGTGTTTTTTCTTTTGTACCTCACTGTCTATGAAGGATGAGGGAGCTCCCAGATATAATCCACAATACAAAATTGGTTTAGGATGAGGAATTAGGAATTATTGACAGAATTTTCATTCTTGGGTGAACTGTCCCTTTAAATGTGTCCTTGATGAGCATAAGATATAGCATACCAGTGCGAATGCATTTCAGGATGTGATATCTGCCTTACAGACTAAATCAAATGATTGGACATTGATGGTGTCAGAAACATCAGTGCTTTTGTTTCATCAATCAAACTGAATTTCCAAGGATCTAGTAATTTCTAGATACCCAATAGCATGCAAAGCACTTTGCATGCATATGTTCTGAAGGCACATCGAATGGCTTTATCTCATCTAAACGCTCATCCTTTAGCATTTGTGTTCTTTACTTGTGGTGATGTGGTGCTGTCATGTCCACTTCTCTGTCCACATGAATCATCCTTCCCTTTCTTCTCTGTTGATTTATTGCCATCGTATTTCTGATGTTTTATGATTGCACTGCTTAACAAGTTCTTAAAGCTCTGGGATGAATTTGAAATTCACTGATATTTACATCCTCTTTCCCCTTTTGTTCCCCTTTTCATTTATTTGTTTTTTGTTTTATTTTTACTTCATCTTCTCCCTTCCTCTAATTCCATGTTTTTTTTTCCCTTAATCAACAAACAGCGACAAAGATCTACTCAGCCAGACAAGAACTCTTGCTATGTCATTTGTAAAATGTGCTAGCACAGATACTGAGCACCAATACAAGCTTGTCAAAGATATTTCCTTCTGATATTAGGATAAATTTGCTCTTTGATACTTAACATACTTGGTTGTGTGGCGATCCGCGGTGTTAATGATCGTTCTTCACTAGCCCCATTTTAAAGTGCCCCTGTCGTGCTATTTTAAATGTCTTATTTTCCTTTATGAGGTCTTCTACAGTACTATCTTTTTAAGATCAAAAACATGTTGATTTGATCATAATATACATTCCAGCATAACCTCTTTCCTCACAGTGCCTAAAATTGGTTCATTTACGCATCTGGTCTCTCTTAACCCCGCCTTTCAGAGAGTTTACTGTTCTCTGATGACCCAATCTGATTCGACTGGTTTAACATTTACAGATCAAATCAGAATCTAAGCGTGCATCACCATAACTGAATTTCAAATTCGTAGGTTTTCCTCTCCGTGTGTAAACACAAGGTGCGTCCCAAATCGCATACTTAGGCTTATTCTACGCCATTTTGTAGTGTAAATAGTGTAAGTAGTGCATTTACACTGAAAACTCTAAGTACACTTTAATTACCTGGATGATGCACTTATTCAACCATTAAAATAAAGTGTGGATTGTTCTACACTTCACACACTCAACGTGCGCTGCTTTGCTCACATAGCGGAAGAGGTGGAGCTATGGGGTGCTCATGTCAGATTACTTTATTTTGGATTGTAAAGGCAAAATTCTGCTACAAGAGGGATTATAGCACCCCCGATGGTAAATGCGGTCAGCTTCAACGCTTCCCATTTTCTTTGAATGGGTGAGATCAGAACTGCCGAACTGCGTTGTGGCTCCGTTGGCGCTGCTTAAGTGGCGTTGGACGCTGCAAAAGTTGGGACTTGCTCAACTTTTCAAGCGCCAACGGAAGCGTCAGCCAATCAGATCGCTGTATGCAAATACCCCAGCTCAGACAGTGGCCTATTGCTGACTAATTTCATTGGCTTAAGCTGCTATGACGATCGCGTCAGCCCCAACTTCAGACACGCCCTCTGTCAAGTGTTGATGCTGAAGCCCCGTGTGAATGGGGCGTTATACTCATGGCAGGTACTATTTGGTAGTTTGGTCATTTATTTCACTAGTTTGGCAACCGTCAAACGTCATCAGGAAAGCGTTTTGGATATCCGCTTTGTAAAAAAATATTAGTGTTCCACTTGGGACAACACTACATTCATATACTATGCTGTTCAGTGTGTAAGTGCATAGTGCAAAGTGTGCCATTTGGGACACAGCTACAGTGATATTAACAGTAACAGTGGCTTTGCTTTTACTGTATAAATTCAAGCATATGCTGGCAAATTTTAATTGCTTTCACAAAAAATAGCTTTCTTTGTATCTATTTTACATGTTGAAAACACAAACTTTTCCAGGCCTCAACTATATCCACAGTGTTTGGGGGTCAAAATGGAAGTTGTTCACAATAAGCTCTTGATTTGTTACAAACCTGTATAGATCTGTGTTTAAACGTACAACTTGTTTCAGGCATTTCCAATTTATTTATTATTATTTTTTGGGGAGACAATAACCTTTTTCATTTATTTTTATATTCACATATTGCTATGGTATATACTATATCAAACTGTAGGTAATAGAAAAAAGCATAATTGGGGCACTTTATTTGATGATGGTGACTGTTTTTCCACATTCTATTTAGTGAGCAAATACTTCATGTGGTTCTCTAGCATAAATATGTACCTGTGACATTTAATAGTCAAAGAAACCACAAATATGACGAGTCTTTTATCTCAGTCTTCAATAAATTTGATGTTTTCACTACTCGTAACTATTCACTCCTTTGTCGACAATATGTTATAAATAAAAATAACCCGAACCTTTCTGAAATTTCCAACTCATTTCAACTTTCACAGCGCAGCATTTCTGTCATCTGGCTCTGTATTTGTTCCCGCTCTGTTGTGGCTGTTGAATTATGGCCATCTTTTGATTTTGTTACCTCTTTGTTTCAATACATTTCCGCCCATTCCATTACATTCAGAGCCGTAGTTTTACCCAGTTGGTTTGAATTACACCAGATTGCAGGATGCCGAGAGGGAACGGGCCAGTGCCGAAGACGGGGTGCGCAAATTCAAGCAGGACTTCACAAACAAAGCCGAAAGTCTCCAAAAGCAGATAGTCCAGAGAGAGAAGCAGATGTAAGTTTTGAGATGGCGAATTTCGAATAGAAGTAGACCAAAAGGATTAGTGTCAGTATTGTATCAGTGTCTCATTTATTTGAAGGTAAAATGAAACTGGATATTAATTGACACGTTTTGTTTAGGACGCAGCTGGAAACAGACTTGAAAATCGAGAGGGATTGGCGGCAGACGTTACAGAATGAACTGGAGAGAGAACGAGAGACAATCACCCAACTAGCTGCTGAAGCTCAGCAAATCAACGGACTCAAAAAAGTAAGAGGAACTGGTCAATTCTCAGTATCAAGGAGAAAAAATACATATATTATGGCAAGAAACCCCTGATGAATACAAAAATAACTGTTTGAGGACTAGGCATGCACCAAAATTCAAATTTCTTGGCTAAGAGCCAAAACGGACAAATACTTATTTATTATCATTTAATTAAATAATATAATTTTGTAAAACTTAATTAAGATGTAACTTAATAACTTAAATTATTCTGATTTAAAAAAAAAAAAAAAACAGAAGCCAGTAAAATATCCATTTCATATCCATGAGTATTCATATTATTGACAGCAAACTAGTTGTCAGGCATAATTTTACCAGCATTGCCATGACACTTAGTAGTGCTATTGCAAGCAGCATGAACAAGCATACTACATAGTGATGTTTTTTAGTCACGAATCGGCCCATTTTTCAGATCGCCAAAAATGGGAGGAGACAAATGTAATTTGATTTCCATTTATTACAAAAACAGTACTGCAAGATACTTTTGGTTTTAACAAACAGAACTTAAAACCTGCAATTTTATCAAAAATAAAATAAAGAAATAATTAACTGAATAAAAATAAATAGTAAAATATTCAGTACTGTGAAAAATTCACTGTTACTATTACCATTACTGTTGCTGATGACACTACATGTAGAAATCTAACAATTTGTACAACCCATATTTATTTTTATTCTCATTTTCATTAAATGATTCAGTTTTTCACCCATAAAACTTAATGTTTCAAATATAAATAACGGGGAAATTTATATTCTGTGGACACGAGCACTAAACCGAGTTAGTGGCGCCTTCTAGCGGCGGTGTGTGGATCTTTTCCCCCGTTGAAGAACAAAGTACTGTATAAACCTAGTATTACTTTAGTCACTACTAAACTGCTAAACATTAAAACTGATAAAACAAAAAATTAAACTCAATATCAAATATTTATATAAAGAATATTATTTATTATTATTTTTAGAAGTATTGTTTATTATTATTTATTCAAAACCACACACACACACAAATATAAATATTCATTCATTCATTTTCTTTTTTTATTAATCTAGGGTCGTTATAGCGGAATGAACTGCCAACTTATCCAGCATATGGAAATCCATACACACTCAAACACTAAGTTTAAGCTTGCCCAATTCACCAATACCCGCATGTCTTTGCAATTGTGGGGGAAACCAGAGCACCCAGAGGAAACCTACGACAACATGGGGAGAACATGCAAACTCAACACTGAAATGCCAAGTGACCCAGCCGAGGCTCGAAGCAGTGACCTTCTCGCTGTGAGGCCATTGTGTTACCCACTGCGCCCCCAGTGACACCCAGAAATATATATATATTTTACAGTTTGATTTTTTATTTTTTTTTCTTTTTAAAAGAATTCCCAAATGATGTTTTACAGAACAAGGACATTTTCACAGTATGTCTGATAATATTTTTTCATCTGGAGAAAGTCTTATTTGTTTTATTTCGGCTAAAATAAATGCAGTTTTTAATTTTTATGAACCATTTTAAGGTCAAATATATTAGGCCCTTTAAGCTAATTCTTTTTCAGATTGTCTTCAGAACAAACCGTCGTTATACAATAACTTGCATAATTACCGTAATCTGCCTAGTTAACTTAATTAACCTAGTTAAGCCTTAAAATGCCACCTTAAGCTGTATAGAAGTGTCTTAAAAATATCTAGTCAAGTATTATTTACTGTCATCATTGCTAAGATATAAAATAAATCAGTTATTAGAAATGAGTTATTAAAACCATTATGATTAGACATGGTGATGCGGTGGCGCAGTAGGTAGTGCTGTCACCTCACAGCAAGAAGGTCGCCGGTTCGAGCCTCGGCTGGATTAGTTGGCGTTTCTGTGTAGAGTTTGCATGTTCTCCTTGCGTTAGCGTGGATTTCTTCCAGGTGCTCAGATTTACCCCACAATTCAAAGACATGCGGTACAGGGGCCTCATGTATCAACGCTGCGTACGCACAAAAACTTTGCGTACGCCAGGTTTCACGCTCAGAATCGCTCACGTTTGGATTTACTAACAATGAACTGAACGTGGGAATGTGCGCAACTTCACGGCAGCTTTCTGGCAGGCGTACGCACATTTTTTGTGCGTGTCTGTTTTATTTCCATTGGCGACTCCTAGAGGCAGTTGTGTTAAATTGCTCTCTACAAAGTGTCTGAGCCTTGCAATGGCAGCTGTATGAGACGGGTTCAGCAGGTATATAAGGTTTCCATACCATACAGTTGACCAGCTAAACATTAAAGCACAATTTGCAGCGGTCGCCTGTTTTCCCAATGTAATCTGAGCGATCTACCGCACGCACATTGCTATAAAGACACTATCTGAAGATGAATTTGCATGCGTGAATCAGTAACATTTCCATTCAATATTATTATATCTGTAAAGTGTTACAGCATTTTGAACAGTCTCAGTGGCGCGCTCGTAAGACACATGTGAACATGTTTTGACACGTTCGAGCATGAACTCGGCTCGAATCCAGCGTCTGATGAACTCTTTCTTCTTTTTTTCCCCCGCTACATATCATATTTTGCCTACTATTTATCACGAGAAAGACTAGTAGGAATCATTAATAAGTTTGTGCATCATATTTTATTTGCACATTTATTGAATGGAAATGTTTCTGATTCACGCATGCAAATTCATCTTCAGATAGTGTCTTTATAGCAATGTGCGTGCAGTAGATCGCTCAGATTACATTGGGACAACAGGCGACCGCTGCAAATTGTGCTTTAATGTTTAGCTGGTCAACTGTATGGTATGGAAATCTTACATACCTATCTGAAGATGAATTTGCATGCGTGAATCAGAAACATTTCCATTCAATAAATGTGCAAATAAAATATGATGCTTATTGATATGAACTTATTAATGATTCCTACTTGTCTTTCTCGTGATAAATAGTTGACAAAATCTGATATGTAGTGGGGGAAAAAACAAGAAAGAATTCATCAGACGCTGGATTCGAGCCGAGTTCATGCTCGAACGTATCAATTCCTGTTCACATGGGTCCTACGAGTAGCGCCACTGAGACTGTTAACCATCCTGCAACATTTTACAGATATAAACCACACTATTTTCTTTTTTTTAATGCACTCAGTGCGATGTTCAGACCCAACTGTGTTAACCGCATCAGCTAAACTCTCCCGCTCTATTTATTTCTTTTATTGTTAATTCCGGAGAACAAACTTGCAAATAACACCGCTTTTCTCCGGTCTACCTCTGAAAGCACCTCCAATTCACATTCTGTTCAAAGTTTCTCTTTTTGCTTGCTTTTGCCATTGCTTTTCGTTGGGTTTTGCCATTAGCATAGTCATTAGCATATTCATACGGGGGAGGAGGCAGGGAGGGGTTTTGTGCTCGTGCATGTTGCGCTCAGTTTCACGTTCATTCAGATGTACAAAAGAATATGCGTGAGATTCGGCGTACGCAGTGTTTCATACATCTGAAATTTTTTCTGCGTACGCACATTTACAGCTTTGTGCGTACGCAATGTTTTAGTAAGATTTCCACGCAAGTCTTCGTACATGAGGCCCCAGGTGAATTGGAAAAGACATTTTGCAAACGTTTACCGTGGCAGAACCCCAAAAATTAGAAAAAAGAACAGAAAGGCAGACAGACTGATAGCTAAAAAGGATAAATAGAAATATTAATTTAGAACCATGGATGACTTAAAGCGCAACAGCCTAAATAAATGTCATAAAAATAATATTAATAATCATAACAATAATAATAATTTAAATGATGAAAATATATAACCTATCCCAATCCTGACATAGCTGTGTTTAAACAGCCCAAACACTTCATAATAACCCTTTATGGTTATGCCATATATTAGACAGTTCTGTATGAATAACTCACGTGGCTCCTTTAATGCATTCACACGTTATGTTAAATGATTTTAAATTACACGTCCCATATCCATGCCAAACCTTAAATTATACGTGAACACTCTGTCTAACAGTTCCAAGTTAACTGTTTTGTGTTCATTCTGATAAAATCTTTCTGATTTTGCATATCTTTGTTCTTAATTGTTCTTGGCCCTGGCAATTATGTTTATCTATTTTGTATTATTATTACTTCCTCCCCGGTTTCTCTTTTATGACGTTTATATTTAGCTGTCAATATAATACTTTTCGTCTATGTAAGAATGAGTTAATACAGATAGAGAATGTGTAACATCATATTCATCAAAAGAAAGTTTATGTGAATGTAACCCCACCGGTCCGAGCAGGGCGCAGGCCGGCGATACCAGCATGGGAGACAAATGTCCAAGGCTTTGATATTAATATTAAATGCTACTTTTGTGCCTTTATTAGCTTTTTTCTCGCCTGTTTACTGGGTTAAAAATCTTAAATTATTCCATCTCCACCTGCTGGTAAAAGAGCAGCTGGCGATTTTCAATCTGCAATCTATTGCTTTTCCTGCAGTTCCCGGATGTAATGTTGAATTTTAACAGTCAAATTTTAACCACTGAATTTATGGAAGCCAATATTTGAACTGAAATTAAATTAACTAAAATATGCCTTTTGAATATTACTAATCCTATTTTTAAAAGGTATTAAATATTTTGTAAGTGAAATCTGGAAACTGAATAAGAATGATTAAATTTTTAAGTATGAAAACGTGTTTGAAATATTTTTCATTGAAATATTCAAAGCTTAAATAAACAGATATGTTAAATTTCAGGATCTAAAAATACAAACCCTGGAATTCAAGTCATTAAAATGCAAGCACTTGTTAATTCAGTGTATTATTTTTTTACGTTTGTGCTATTCAACAAGCTTTTTAATTCAATACTTTTGCCATTGATTTTGCCCCATAGACTAAGCTGAAAAAGAAAATGAATGAATGAATGAATAAATGTTTAGAAATCTTCTCTCCGTTAAACAGAAATTAGGGGGAAAAAAAACAAACGGGGGCTAATAATACCAGGGGGCTAATAATTCTGACTTTAATTCTAATTATTCTGACTTAATAATTCTGTACACACACACACACACACACACACACACACACACACACACACACATATATATATATATATATATATATATATATATATATATATAAATATATATAAATAATATATATATATATATAAATATATATATAAATATAAATATATACACGCACACACACACACGCATATATATATATATATATATATATATATATATATATATGTGTGTGTGTGTGTGTGTGTGTGTGTGTGTGTGTGTATGTATATATATGTGATGTGTGTGTGTGTGTGTATATATATGTGTGTATATGTATATATATATGTGTGTGTGTGTGTGTGTGTGTGTATATATGTGTGTATATGTATATATATATATATATATATATATGTGTGTGTGTGTGTGTGTGTGTATATATATATATATATATATATATATATATATATATATATATATATATATATATATATATATATATATATATATATAAGGGATGTAACGGTTAACAAAAATCACAGTTCGTTTCGATACGACACAGTGGTGTCACGGTTCGGTACGTTTTCGATACAGCAAAAAAAGAAAAAAGCCAAAGGATTTCTCTGATTTAAATTTTCTATGTATTAAAACTAACATTATAAAAGTATGATCTTGTTTTTTTTTTCTTTTACTTTAAACAGTGATAGAGCTATACACCCGAGGTTTCTGCTTAGCAGCAATGAAAACAAATCCTTCTTTATACTCGAAATCAAAAAGCTTCCAGTCTATTTTTAAGTATTTTTTTATTATCAGAAAGATAAGTGTCCACCTTTTCTTCAGACAGCACAGATCTGCTTGATTTGACTGTCACCTGCCATTTTAGTGCATCTGAAAGCAAGAATTTTCAGACTGAAATGGCCTTATGAAGGATTAATGTAACGAGGCTCTATTACTTTCAACATTTTCTTCAAACCCGAAAGAGATCTAACGGGGCTCGAAATGAACCTTTTTTTCTTGGTAGCACCTGTGCTCTTAACTTAGGCGCAAAAAAATGTAGGCGCAACAGACAGAATTTAGTCGCACCCACCAAAAATGATGAGCACTGTTACTACACGTTTTATATTAACAGATTATATTATATATTAACACTCTAATCACAGTTAACAAATAAACAAAAATCTGCATGAGGTCCTAGCCCTGCACGCACTGCTTGACGTGAATGAGATGAACTGAATTAACAATAATCACTGTGCTGTTCTCACGGGTGCTGTCTGATATTGCACAGATGATATTATAACTTATTTTTTGCTTGCGTCATCTTAATAGCAGTAATGGTCTTTTCGTGAGCTGCAGTATTACTTTCATCTCAGTGAATGCATGCGATGGTGAATGCGGCATCAGTCGCATGATAATATAAGTGATAATAATTAAATGAATGATTAAATAACGTTATAACATCTCGTGCTTAAAATGTGTAGATGAGACAAACACTGTTACCTGAAAACTCTGTCCCGCTGGCTTTACGGTGAAGGCTTAGTCATAGCGGACTTTAACCACTGGGTACAGTCAGACCAGGAAAGTTTAGTTTACTTACTTTTTTCTGGGCCAAACAAAATGCTGTTTTTACTTACTTTGTGAAAGCGTGATGCTTTCACACTGCCCTTTTTGGAAGTGAACCAGAAATTAAAGCTAATGCACACGTATGCATAAAGTCAGCCTGTTATAGGAGAGCATGGCTGATGGTTGCTTAGCAATGGCAGACACCACGGGCACACCACTCTTGATAACTGATAACTCAAAAGGCACAGGGCTTTCAACAAATGTGTCATGTTTCATATGCACACCTTAAACAAACCATGCCAGAGCTCATTTGATAGTGGACCGAGGCCACCTCTTCAGCTGGATGGATTAACAGAACAAATGTGAACACACCCTTAAAGATTGCTGTGGACCTTTTTTGTTTATTGTGACTGAATGGCAACCCTCTGCCATGTTTTGTTCTCTCAGGAGTTTCACAGGCTGCAGGATGAGAACACACTGCTGAAGGGGATTTGTGAAGAGCAGGAACATGCGCTGGAGGAACTGGGCTGCAAATTAAGCGAGTATGTGTGATTTATACCTCAATACTGTCAAATCTTTGTGTTCTTTTACTAATACATGCATTTTTCTTGTTCAGGTCAAAGTTGAAAATCGAAGATATAAAAGAAGCCAACAAGGCACTTCAGGTTTGAACTGAAATACTGTTTGAAATACAGCTAAAATGACCAAGAATGTATCATTACAGACAGCACATATCAAAATAATTCTACATTGGGGATTAATTAGTTTATTCAGTTCCATTTGTCATATTGACAATTATTTTCAGGGTGGACAGGTCTGGCTGAAGGACAAAGACGCTACACATTGCAAGCTTTGCGAGAAGGAATTTTCAATCTCCAGAAGAAAGGTCAGAACCAAAGTCCAGTTCATTAATATAAGACACCTTGCTGTGCATTCTTACACTTCCACACTAATTCAGCCGCTTTAAATAGAGAAATTGACTGACACAGAGATGGTACTGGATTTATGCATTTCCAATTGACGATTAGATAATGCTTCAATGAATTTGCAAACGATGCCCAGTACTATTTCAAATGCATTATAGATCTAATTTTAAAGTCATAACTTAAGTGGTATTTGCCACTTAAACCATTAGTTCACCCAAAAATGAAAATTTTAATTACTCTTGTTTTTTTCAAATGAAACTGTTTTAAATTAAATCCAAAGAGCTCCTTAATAGACAGCTATGGTCTCGAGGCATTCAAAGTCAGAAAAGAAACCAAATACATTGTCAAAACATTCCATGTGACTTCAGTGGTTTAACTGTATTCATACAAAGCCATTGGTGAACAAAGTCATATTTAGCTATTTTTCTATTGTATAGACCAGGGGTCATCAGTCTTGTTCCTGGAGGCCCGGTGTCCCTGCTGGGTTTAGCTCCAACTTGCCTTAACACACTTGCCTAGGTGTTTCTAGTATACCTAGTAAGACCTATATTAGCTTGTTCAGGTGTGTTTGATTAGGGTTGCAGCTAAAAACTGCGGGACACCGTACCTAAAGGAACAAGTTTGGTGATCTCTGGTATAGACCATTTTGATGTATGTAAACAAAAACAATGGTCCCAACGTGCTTCCTGTTGTATGTTTTTAATTTCTATACCTTCCGAGAACTTAAAAAGAGCCACATATTGATAAATAATGTTATGAAAGCTGTTTTATCATTAAGTTATGATTAAATTGCCTCTTGTTACAGTTATTAAATAGTTTGATAACAAGCAGGAAATATTCATGGGCCAATGACATGACCACATTGAAATGGTCTATTTGGAGCTTCATTTGATTACAGTTGAACCAATAAAGTCACATGGAATGTTTTGACCATTTTTTGATGTACGGACAATGTAATTGATTAAAGAATGTTCATTTTTGGGTGAACTAATCCATTAAAACTCTAATCACCATTTATTTTTTTTTTTAGAAAATATATTTATTTTGGATTAAAGGTATTCAGAAACTTAATTTCTTCGCCAATCTCAATTTTGTTGACAGATTTTGGATAAAGTAATGTGAAAGCAAAAAGCATGAGCTGTGTACACCTTCATGTACAGCTATCGAATGTAGAGTACATGCACACTGTTTTGATCCCAAAATTTGTGTCACTGTGTGCAAACCCTCACATCCATGTAAGAGTACAAATATAATTTGGCCTTTTATTGTTATAATCGGTGATGTTAACAGGCTGGAAAACATTTTATGAAGAACAACTATACGTAAATCTCCCCAACATCACTTAAAGAGATTAATTTCTGAGGCTGCTTCAAAGCAGTAACTATTAGCTGTTTAACTGAAAGCTGTGTGTTTGTCTGATCAGCACCACTGCAGGAACTGTGGCGAGATCTTCTGTAACGCCTGTTCAGATAATGAGCTGCCGCTTCCCGCTTCTCCCAAACCCGTGAGAGTCTGCGACACATGCCACGCTATGCTCCTCCAGCGCTGCTCCTCCAACACCACATAAAACACGACGCTAACAAGTCCCAAAGTGGCCAAAATGGAGTTTACATTTCAGATGGGGGGAAAAAAAGCTTGTTGCTTCCGGTGCAGATGGCCAATGCGATGTTCGTCAGCGAGCGCGCAACGAGTTTACAAATGGATTAATGACTCTTAACGCCTCCGTCTGGGGTGCAAGTCGACCGATTTCAGGTTTTATATTAGCACAACACTCCCATGCATTTTTGATATATGAAGGGTGAACCGGTTTCATTCCTTGTCAGTCAGAAGTCAATTCAGTTACTCGTTTCTTAAGCAACTGTATTTCTGATTCAGTTCATTCATGTGTGCCTGCATAACAAGCCAAACTGACAAGAGATTTGACATCATTCCAGATGTTTGTATATGTACGGCAGAAGAGAAAATGTTGTCAGTGCTGCTCATGAATGATTGAGGTTGATTCTCGTCAAATAGCACAGAAACGTTGTTGTGAATACGATGTTCAGGTTTCTTGTCTGCAGTATGGTATTATTTCACAACTGCAGATTTACTTTGGTACAGAACTGGAACACTACTCACTTTGAGCATTTGTGTTGACTTTTGTCTGAATAATTGTTCATAATGCAGCTGTTAACTTAAATGTGAAGTTTATGAAACTGTACATATGCCTTACACAACTAAAGTTGACTATAATTCTGCTGCTTGTGTGATGGATCTTTGTGAACGAGGGTACACTGTTGTAGTGTGCAGTAAGGCCCAATCTCGATTCTACCCCTTAGCCCTTTCCCTTACTAGTTAGCTAAAGAGAATTGGAACACCCCTACCCCTTCCCCATGTTCCAGTTCTATTTAGCTTGAAATCGTAGGGCTAAGGCCCAATCCCAATTCTATTTTTGTACACCTACTCCTTTTGAAGGGCACCAAAATGTACCCCTAAAAAATGGGACAGCACTACAGCACCTACACACGTCATCGTGATCTCTTGCTTTATATGAGATCAGACGATTGCGACTGCTGTAGTTATTCCAGTTGCTTTATTGTTTGGTATTTATCTTCAGGAAATCACTGAAGGCAAATAACGTTATCATGTTATCATAACCATATAATGTGGCAACTATTGTAACTGAAGTGTGCATTTACACGGTGGCCATATTCATCTATGAAAACACAAAAACAATAACATAACAGCAGACACTGTAAAAAGCTCATTCTCAGCCACTAGACTTTTGTGACAGGATATTCAAGTGTCATTGAGTGTCAGAATGTTGTGGGACTGCTGTACAGGAGTTATGATTATGGATTATAGATAGCGAAATTTAGCGTTTGTATGATGGTAAGGCATGAACGCGGTTATGAATATATTAAAACATGTGCTTGTAATAATCTGTAATAATGACTAAAAATACTAATTTGTGGATCTCCTTCCAGTTGTGGCTATCCTGCTGTTGTGGCTGGTGTATTCTGGGAAATTTTCTTACCCTTTCGTTTTAAGTGTGGTCCTGAAAAATCTCCATTTGAAGGGGTATATAGCCCTTCGCCTTAGCTCTACGCCTTTAAGCTAAGGAGAATTGGGACACCCTTAACCCTAAAGCCGCCTTTCCACTGCACATGACAAATGACAAGCGATAGACTGGAAGTTATTCATTTCCAATTGAGAGCAGTCCGGGAGCTGCGTTGAGTTCCGATCATCTCCGTATGTGGAAAATTCGGATCCGAATTGAGCTGCGGATCCGTTTAAATATTTGAACTCCTGCGACTTGCCGACCGGATGTGATGTATTCCAGTGTTGTCCAAGCAGAGCCGTACACGCGAGATGAGAAATAGGAGTTTATTTGGTTATTTTTTGAATAATAAAAAGTCTATATTAAAAAAAAAAAACTTTTTTGTTCATAAATGTAAGAAAGTTATAAAAATGTATATTTTTAATGTTGTCTCCACATTCCATCCAATATTTTAGTGGTCTATGAGTTTCTAGTATTTATTCATCCATTAAACTATGTAAACGCACAGAGAATAAAGGCTCTTGCTTTTGCCCTCCTTTATTTCGGACACCGAATCAGCTTCTCTCCCCTGTGGTGCACGACAACACTGAAAATACTGTGCGACTGCCACAAGGGGGTGTATTCCGACAGTTGTGTCCAAATGTCGTGTGCAGTGGAAAGGCGGCTTAAGGGGTAAAGGGGAAGGGCTAAGGATAAAATAGGGATTGGGCCTAAATAGCCCTTGAAACTGATTTTTCAGGACCACACTCAAAACCAAGGGGTAAGAAAATTTCCCAGAATACACCAGCTACAACGGCAGCATGGCTGCACATGCGAGTCTGAAGTTGCACAAATTAGTATTTTTTGTCATTATTACAACAAACAAGCACATGTTTTAATACATTGACAACGGTGTTCGTGTTTTACCGTCATGCTTTAAAAATGCTAAAATACCCCTAATAACTCCTGTATAACACAACATACTTTCACATCTGTCACTTGATGAACATTGAATACCCTGTCAGAAAAGTCTAGTGGCTGGGAATGAGCTTTTTACAGTGTCTACTACTGTATAATGTTAATGTTGTTTCTGTGTGTTTTCATAGATGAATCTGGCCACTGTTTAAATGCACAGTACAGTTACAATCTTATTGGCAAGTTATATCATAATGATATCGTGGTATGCCTTAAGTGATTTCCTGAAAAAAAAAATAATAATGCAATACCATCAGTAGTCGCCATCATCAATCTCATATGAAGCATGAGAACGCGACGACATATAAGGACGTGTGCAGGTGCTGTAGTGCGCTCCCATTTCTTAGGGGTAAATTTTGCAGCACTTCCCCTTCACACTCAAGAAAAACTACAAGAGCCAAGGGGTAGGGGTACAAAAATAGAGTTGGGCCAAAGTGTGGTTTACTAAATCTTTAATTCAAAACGACTGATTCATTTATTAACAAAGCAAGTTGAGTGTCTTTATGAATATAAAACTTAACTTGGTTTGATCAAAAACAGTCATTCAAAAGTGGGAAAAATGCAAATGTTCAGCTAAATCAAAAAATATTTTTCTTATATATCTGTCTAAACTAGGGCTGCACGATATTGGACAAAATCTGACATTGCAATATTCAGCTTTTCTGTGATTATATATTGCGATATGAATATGATTTCACCAGATTAAATAGCTCTACTTAAAAATGTTTCATTCATTTAGTTAGATTGGGATGACCAAGTATTTTTCTATGCAGTGCATTTGAATAAATTTGAATAAATTACAAGCATATTTAAATAGAGCAAAGACAAAAGAGAAATAAACAGCACTTATGGCTTTCTATAGAGTCTAACAGTATTCAGCTACAGAAATTAAACAACCAAACATAAAATTGGTCATCATTGTATACATTTTTTATGCTTCAGTTTTATGCTTCTAAAAGGTCATTTTCAATGTTATATTTTAATAAATGTAGTATTTTAAAATTACATTAAATGTATTGTTTTTATTTTAGGGTAAGGTGACTTTGTTATTTTTAAATATAATTTATTTATTTTTATTTTATTATTTATTTATTCATTGTTGTTATTTTAATTAAATTGTTCAAAATAAATTCATTTTAATCCTGCAATGTTGCGGATACATTGTGATATCGATGCTCAAATGATATATTGTGCAGCCCTAGTCCAAACCTTTAAAACCTTTGTTCATCTTTGGTATGCAAATGAAAATATTTTAGATAAAATCCGAAGGCTTCCTCCTCTTCTATAGACATTTTTATGCACAAAAGCGAGGGTGAGTTATTCATACCAGAATTATCATTTGAATGAACTAATCCTTTAAATGCTTAATTAATATAAATGATAGCACACCCCTGATTTACAGTACTTATTTTAACAGTTTATTAAACATTAAGACCTTTGCACATTTTTGAGTATCAAATAGAATATGTCAGTCATTTATATCTCTATTTAGTATGATGTAGCAGAAACAGAGCTCTCATTTGTAGAGGGGGAAAACTCATTTTTATTCAGAGGCCTAAACTATCAAAAAAAAAAAAAAAAAAAGCACATGTATACAGTACATTCCTCAAATATAATATTTAAACGTTTTATCGTCAAAGCTCCAGTTTTCATTGTGGGGAAATTATGATGCAGTTTCATACAATGAAGAATTTGAGAATCCTGATGTATCATTTCATACATTTTAAGCATGATTTTTCCAAAAAAATAAAATTATAATTTTGGCCCTTTTGCTTGCTAAAAAGGTTGAACTTTCAAATTGGATAAGTCTGATTCAGCAAATTGATTTATTGATGCTTTAGAATATTACACTAGGCTGAAGTTTCAAACAGACATATATAAAAGATTTCTGTTAAAAATAAATGCTGTACTTTTCATTTTTCTGTTCCTCAAAAAGCCCTGAAAAAATGTTTATAGTTTCCAGGAAAATGGCTGTTTTCAACATTAAGGACAAAAAAAGCATGTCAGATTATTTTGCTTATACAAGATCATGTAGCTTTACCATTACAGAAATAAATGACATTACAATAAATAGTTTTTCATCAAATAAATGCACCACTGGTGAGACTTTCAGAAACATTAGATTTCTTACTGACCACAGTCTTTTTAAAGGTACAAAACCGTAGTTTAGAGCTGCACAACTCCTTTAAAATATACTATAGAAATGCGCTGATGCCATTTGATTTTATTCAGTTCAGTAGCCAGATACCTCATTTTATTCTGGCATTACAACTTTATTTAATAAACATTCTTCAGGGAAAACTGAAATATATATTTATTAATAAAATGTTTTCTTCCAGGGATGTGTAAATTTCACAGGTTTTAATTAGAAATTTGTACCTAGCAGCAAGGACATGTAAAACATCCAAAATGATGTTATTGCTTTGAGAAATTAAATAAAATTGCAATTTTAAACACACACAACTTGGGCATCAAGCTATTCATACTAGTTTCTGAGCTAAAATACATACAAAGCATGTATCTTTAGATAGAACTCGACACGGAATATGTCATATAAAATTCAATAAGCAAAATGTACAGTAGCCGGTCAATATATATGCAACAGCTCATATTATGTATATTAAATTTAATTATCTTCGAGTTTGGAAAATATTTTGGGCATATTTTCATAGGAACATGTAAAACATATTCATATTAAAAGACCTTCCAAGCTGGAAGTTCCAACTTTGGGTTGAAAAGTGCGCATTTTGCGATGGTCTTCAGAACATCCCTCTTAATGCACTTCCTCTAGAGCTCATCCCACCAGAGCTGCTATAGAAACCTCCTCCACGGCCTGTGGTGTTTTCATGCCCCCAAAACAAAAGACTTGTGTTTGAATGTTGTCTTCACACCTTCTCATCTGTACACTACTATTACATAATCTCCATGCTTACCCATTTCAGACGGCCCACTCGAAGTTGAGTTCAGGAAAAGCTCAATGTAACGATGCTCTGCAGGGAAGAGGACAGAGCAGCTGTTAAAAGGGTCCAGAAGTGACTAATCCAAATTAGCTCCATCTTTTGACGCATACAGTGCACAGCATACACTTTATAAGTACACCCCCCACAAATCTATCTCTTAAATTCATAAACTATTACAACTAAATTTATGGTATAGAGAATTATTAAATGCAAATTTAAAAAAGAGGGGAAAAAATGGAAATATGTAGTTGAAACTTTGTAGGTTGTCATTTTTTTAATTA